GATCCTTTAATACATTGATATATAAGAATTGCATGCTAAACAGGCTTATCTCAAAGGTTCTTAGATAACATTAGCATATAAGCCTTGCTCTGATTGTATTCCAAGTTTATTAAATCTATATCTGTCATTCAACACTATTTCATTGAATGTTCAGTGGATCATTGATTCTCTTGTTTATAGTTGCTTGTACCAGCTTTATTTCCTGTTAATTATTACATTTTAAGATCATTCTGATACTCATAGCATCTTTCTGTTTCACCTGAAACATCTCAGGGCTGAGAAGAAATGAGATGTCATGGTTTATCATGATGTTTTAAGATCATTACTTGTAAGTTTATGTCTTGTTTAACTTTGATGGCTTGGAACATCAATGAAAAAGACATGTGCATTTACTTATATTGATTTGTGAAGGTAAAGATTTGAGTTCACTTTGTTGTTTCATTCTCTCTTGTTATTGTTATTATGCTCTTATGTTCATTACCACGTATTCAAAAAAATGAGCAGGACCCAGGTATTCACATTAATTTTAAAATCTGCTCTTTGTGAATTGCTGATCGCATGAGCATGTTAATATTGCTTTACATATGCCATACAATCACATGTTAATATTGCTTTACATATGTCATATAAATTCATGTTGATATTGCTTTACATATGCCATACAAACACATGTTAATATTGCTTTACATATGCCATACAATCACATGTTAATATTGCTTTACATATGTCATACAAACACATGTTAATATTGCTTTACATATGTCATACAAACACATGTTAATATTGCTTTACATATGTCATATAAACTCATGTTAATATTGCTTTAGATATGTCATATAAACTCATGTTGATATTGCTTTACATATGTCATACAAACACATGTTAATATTGCTTTACATATGTCATATAAACTCATGTTGATATTGCTTTACATATGTCATACAAACACATGTTAATATTGCTTTACATATGTCATATAAACTCATGTTAATATTGCTTTACATATGTCATATAAACTCATGTTGATATTGCTTTACATATGTCATACAAACACATGTTAATATTGCTTTACATATGTCATATAAACTCATGTTGATATTGCTTTACATATGTCATACAAACACATGTTAATATTGCTTTACATATGTTATATAAACTCTTGTTGATATTGCTTTACATATGTCATATAAACACATGTTAGTATTGCTTTACAAATGCCATACAAACACATGTTAATATTGCTTTACACATGTCATATAAACACATGTCAATATTGCTTTACATATGTCATATAAACACATGTTAATATTGCTTTACAAATGCCATACAAACACATGTTAATATTGCATAACATATGTCATATAAACACATGTTAAAATTGCTTTATATATGTCATATAAACTCATGCTAATATTGCATAACATATGTCATATAAACACATGTTAATATTGCATAACATATGTCATATAAACACATGTTAAAATTGCTTTATGTCATATAAACACATGTCAATATTGCTTTACACATGTCATATAAACACATGTTAATATTGCTTTACAAATGCCATACAAACACATGTTAATATTGCATAACATATGTCATATAAACACATGTTAAAATTGCTTTATATATGCCTTACAAACACATGTTAATATTTCTGTAGAGTATAAATCAGCTCTCCAGTTTTTGTATTTTTACTATTTAGTCTTAACTTCTTGCTTAATCGTTTCAGTCTTTACTAATTCCTTTCTTCTCAAATCCATTGTTATTTTGTAAAATCATGTTAGGCTTTTCATGGGCAGTCAAGTGTTACAAGACCATTGTGTTTTGTGGTTCTATTCTAAAATTCCACAAAGACAAGATGTCTAAGTTTATATACTGCAGATATTTATTCAATTACATTGGGGCATACTTCAATAATGACATGCAATTATAAATGGATTACTGGGAATTATTTATCTCTCTCTTTACATGCCAGTTTCCCATCCCTCTAAAGCTACTTCTTGTTATTAGTGTGTTCAATTCAACTGAACTGACCTTCCAGAGGCAATCCAATGAATCCATGTAATGTTTTGGAATATATATAATGATCTGTTAACAAAGTTTTCAATTATGAATAGAATGAGTTGCCACATGCATGATTTGTAACTACAGATTCCTAAATGTAGTCAAGTTTGGTAACTGCTGAGTCTGGAAGCTAGTTTACTCTTTTGCTTGGTATCACTGAATTATTTGAAGTGTGAGATGTTGTTCTGGAGTGTTCACACTTATAGGTTTACTTCTATTCCTTATCATTTGCTCATTAAGGGTATCAGTAGCTCTTTATTCAACTAAATTACAAATCGCTACACTCTCCCCTCTTTAATAAGTCTTCGTCCCAGCATAGTTGATTGTGCAGTAAATACTAACTAAACACTCATAAACATTCGTTTTACTGTAGAATTTCGATTAAAGTAATCTGTGTAAGAACGTGATTGAATTTTCCATGAATCTAAATGCTCTTTTAGAACGAAACATGTCAACTTGGGAATTCAAGACGTTTTATCCCTCGAAACATAAAATAATCCAAGAATGAGCCTCATTCCTTTATATATATTTTATTATAGATTTACATTGATTGTTCTGCTTAAGACTTCATCAAGGCTCTCTGCGGATGTATTGTTTGTGAGGTTTTTAGGGTTGTGGATGTGATTATATTGAGTTAAATGCTCATGAAAGTTTGTGTGTTTACCAAGGGTGTGTATTAGAAAGAGATAGCTACTTTGATTTTAGTTATCTTGATAGAAGTGTCCTAATCTATATGGGATCTATTAGAGAATTCTACCTACTGTATAAAGTTTCCTCAGATCAGTAAGCATGCAATTCTATAATGCAAATCAACAACTTAGGCTTAAAATGCAAAAGATTGTAGGATAAACACTAGCCATTCATTGTTTTACACAAATAAGGTTTTGAATAGAACTTGGCATTAAAACCTTGGATGCTTGGTTTATAGTTTTAATAATGTTGACTAGAACCAAAACTGCTTTTTCTTTGGCCTTACAATTAATTAAACTCTTACATCAAGTCAAGTGCTTACCACCCAGATGCTATACATATTTCTACAAGTACATTTAGGAAGAGATAGCAGGTGGAGAGAAAGGGATTTGATTCATTTAATATTTTATTTGTAAATGATTTAATTCATCATTAAAAAATCAGTATTGTTAAGCTACTCACCATAAAGGGATTTCTTTCAAGCAATAAGAACAATATGCCTCTTTTATAACTCATTAGAATCTGCATTTCCTTTATATTTCAACATTTATAGTTTAGGCAAAATAAAAATGTACATTCCTTGATTAATTTCATCTATAAATAATGACTACATTAGCAGTTAAATGCAACATAGATAATACTAGCAGAATATAAAAAAAACTGTGATGCTTCGTGGGCTTCTGAGTAAATGTTATTTTAGCAGATTGTAGTCCTGTGGCAACTGGTATTTAGTGAATGATTGATGTGTTCTCATCTAGCAACCCAGTCTCCTCATCCCAGTCTTCATCTTTTCAGTTGCATCTCTAGAGACAAACTTGCATGGAAGTGTCCAGTGATTGCTACCCTTTTGAAGAAGATGGCTTCGTATATACTCTACAGTATACCTTTAAATAAGAGACAATACTTTCATCTATACCCCATGTTATTATCAGAATAATTATGTTAAAATCATGAGACTTGAATTTCTGGTTTTGTGTACCTTATGTTCCTCACATTCAAACAATATTTAAGGTCCATAAAATTGCCTTTACAATTGTTAATAGATTATAAACATCATCTTGAATTATTTTCAGGGTATTCTGACCATATGTTGGTCAATTATATTTTTGTATTCATGGTGTTGCTATTTATGTTACTTGTGTTCTTAACTGCTAGATTTTACAACAGATCGGTGTAATAAGTTGCATTTGAGATTGTTAAGATGTTATTAGCATCATAGATATGAAACCATTTATTATGATCAGATTGAAGCATGGCTTGCCATTAGAGATACAGGGTACATGTAGTTTGTTGTGGTTGACTGGAAAGGACATCAACATCCATGAGTACCTTTAAATAAAATAGAAACTCACCAGGAAATACAAAACTGTGGAGTCAGGTTTTAGAATTGAGAATAGCATAGAAATAACATTATAATTTTACATATAGATTTTTAATTGGGACAATATGGATTATATTAATAGTTTTGAGAAGTTAGGGTATAGTCTGAGAAATTCAGTAAATTCTATCTAATGGTGAACCAGTGAAGAAAATATGCCAAGTACATTTTTAAGTAGGGGAAGCAACAGACTCATTATATGCCTAAAATACCAGCCATCCTTGTCATACAGCCAAGCAGATGGCTAGTGAAAACATTTCAATTCTCAGGCTTAATGTCTTGATATATCACCAACAGTTGTACCTATGACTATGATGTTTCCATCAAACACTTAGGACATGCTTTTCTGGAAAGCTGTGTTGCAGTCCTTGTTTAGATTTATCATGATAAACTATATGTCCCTTTCTTGTCAGGCTTTACATAAAGAATATAAATGTACTTTTGAACTCCATAAGAGGTCTTAATAAGACTGAATTCCATGATATACATGTAAAGTGTTATTGCCTGTATGGACTTTGATATTCCATTTTATTAAATTAGTCTTAATTTTTATCAGGCAGTTTTTTCGATAAAAATAAATACATATTCCATTCTTCAACTGAAATGAGATTTTTATATGAAAATCACACATCACACCTTCAATGAATAAGCTTTACATGTACATGTACTTGTTATATGTATTGTGCCTCTCATTTGGTATCTTACATAAAGTCGTTGAATAATGGAGGCCAATTATCAGAAACTTTTACTTATGTTGCTGCATTTAATGTTTCTGTCTTTCAATTATACCTAAAAAGGGTACAATATTGTCTCCAGCTTGTTTAAATATCCTTATTCATTGAATATGTTTGTTTTATATTTTCAGAGGTAGCAATGGCTCAGCTACAACTAGGAGATGTAGACCAGGACCATCTAAGGGCCCCCAGGTCACAGACTGGGGTAAGTTTATTATTTTGATGATTTACTTTAATCATATATAAGTATGTCCCTCTAATGTTGCTATTATTGAAAAATAAGACAGATTTAACTGTTGAAATTGGCAAAAAGAACAGAATATACAAATAGAAAATATTAGTTAAATGTTGTCTCATAATAGTGATAGAAGACCCTTTAAAATAGGATGCTATATATGATGTGTATTTGATTGTGAATATATATAATATACATCTATAGGACTAGTATATGGCATATTAATAACTGATTCTCCTCTCATCTGTTGGGTAGATGGGTAGATCCTTTGATGAAATGTATATAACCTGGAATTTCTGAATGAAATGTAATACTTGTAACATTAGTAACATACTGTTACTTAAATGTTTGATTCCATTATAGGTGAGAGATACTTTCGCTCAGGTGGATGAGGACAATCTAGTCATGATATACAACCGTGTGCCAAAGACTGGGAGTACGTCATTTGCAGGGGTAGCCTATGAGTTATGCGTGAGAAACAAGTTCCATGTTCTTCATTTGAACGTCACCAAAAATTCCCATGTACTCAGTGTACCTGATCAGGTAAAGTAGTAGAACCTGCAGGCCCATAGCCAGGGGGGTAGGGGGCTCTTGGCAAGAGCTGGCTTCAGGCCTTATCTGGTTGACAGTTTAAAGAAGTTATTTTCCATGTTTTATATAGGGAGGTTTTGCCTAGTGGGTTCTGTCTGTGCTTTCAAGTTCTGGAAGTTGTACTTGGAATGCATATATAGGAATTTGTAATTTGTATATATCTTGAAGTTCACTAGTTTAAATCAATTTGGCAATTTTACCAATGGTAATTTTTTCCATTTACTGAAATGTAGCATTCCAACTTGAGTAGGGCTCACAAGTCATACATGTATTAGACTTCAACTTATATTAGTCTGTTCATTATGCCTTCCCTTCTAGAAATCCTCATGGAATTTTTCTACATTTTCTCAAAATTAGACTAAATTTGATTAATCCATTTTTATATGTTTCAAGGCATATAGACATTCTGCTCCCTTTTTATCTTTCTTGCAAGACAATTTTTCACTCATCTGTAGCAAAACAGTAGAACATGACTCAATGGAATTTTTTTCATGTAAGGGTAACTTCTCTGATAAACCAGCTGAATCTCTGGTACACTCATGTGGTATCTATTAAAATCTCATAATTTTGCTGGCACACTTCAATGTTTGCTTTGTTTATTTGTTTGTTTATTTATTTGTTTTTGACTGACACCATAAACAGTCACTCATGATTTGTCTGGTATGTATTCCAATATTGATAACTCCCTCTGTTCATGATGTAAATGTTGCTCAAAAAGCTACCCCAACATTTGTAAATGTTGCTATACATCTCTCTCTAATGATGTTCATGTTGCCCAAAACTCACTTCTTTAAATCTATGATGAAGATGTTACTCAATTCTCACCCCTGACACTGGTGATCCACTCGATTACGCTGGTTACCAAAACGGTTCGTTTTGGTAACAAAATGTCGGAACATCCGGAAGGTACGATTTTTCTCGTTTCCTTATTTTACACGTTGTAGGCAGAATTCCCACGACATTTTTTAACACAAACGTGTATCAGTATCATATGTTTAAGAAAGTGTACATATTTGCGAACAAAATAGTTTAGAAGACAACAGAATCGTCGATTTACTTCCTCACTTAAGTTACATAAACGGTTTGGGTTAAAAGTGCAGATCTTAACTGTTTTTCGAAAAACCGTTTATGTAACTTAAGTGAGGAAGTAAATCGACGATTCTGTTGTCCTCTGAGCTATTTTTTCGCAAACATGTACATTTTCTAAAACATAATGATACTGATGCACGTTGTGAGAAAAAACGTCGTGGGGATTCTGCCTACAACGCGTGAAATAAGGAAAAAAGAAAAATCGTGCCTTCGACATTCCGACATTTTGTTACCAAAACGGTTCGTTTTGGTAACCAGCGTAATCGAGTGGATCACCAGTGCCTAAATTGCATTGTAAATGAAGACCTAAGAACATGTTCTAAATTGAATTTTCCTTCTTTAGGTGCGGTTTGTAAATAATGTAACAAGCTGGCAGACAATGAAACCCGCTCTCTATCATGGACATCTTGCTTTCCTAGACTTTACCAAGTAAGTACTAACCAAGTCAACCTTTTTTCAAAACAGTGATTCCAGCTCATATGTTCTCACAATGGCTAAACCTTTGAATTTGTTATAAAGGTGCTCTCTGATGTGTTAAGCACTATACTGTAAAATATAATATACAATGTTATAGTTCCATCAGGCCATGTGGATTCATGGGGACAGAAATTGTCCAAGTATAACCTTTTTATTAATGATTTGAATTCAGTTCCTTCAAAGGGAGCTTCATCTAGAGCAATAACTACCAACTATAGGACTTCAAAATAGTCTTAAGAATGAAACACATTAGTTGATTTAGGGGAAAATCATTTTTGGAATGTAAAAAGGTATAAATTAGTATTATGTTAATAATATAGCTTATAATTATAAAATACCTTTATATAAGAACTCCCTCTTTCTATCAGTTCAGTTGGAATCTAACCAATACTTCAAAGTTGCATGTATCTATATCAAAGAGTCTTTAATGATCAACTTGTGTAATAAATCAACCTGCGAATCATCAAAGAATCTTACAACAAATTACTGAATTAAGATATTTTGCATCACGGAAATTCCATACTCTAATTTTTCTACCTCTGATTGGTTGTTACAGTATATGTATATCATATATTTAGAAAAAACATCAGACAGTACAATGTGTTCAGATTAGAGAGGTTTTCAGATATGCAGGTTTAACAGTACTAATTTGAACACTACAAGCAGGTGTTCATATTTCAGTAACTAATGGTAGATTTCAAAATTGGTGTTCATATTAGAAGGTGTTCGGATAAGAGAGGTGTTTCGAATATTTGTTTTTCAACAATCCTTGGGACTTGACAAAATGATCACAAATCAAGATTCATAGAATTTAACTAACTTAAATGATTGTCTATGCTGATAATTTATGTGCTGTTTGGGGGTTGGGACCTGGATACCAGATTACTACTCATACTAAGAGGAGGGAAAACCCAGTTTTGAAATGACTTCAACTTCAATGGATCTGGGACTTTCCCTCCTCTTACTCATACTGTAATTGTCTATCCTTAAAATACCAGTGAGTTCAGTTATATGCTGGCAGATAACTACCCAGAGGTGGTGGCATTTATAAATTGAATACAGTTTTAAAATTCATTAGCAGATAAAGATGGCATAACATTAGTCAATATTGCTATCTATTTTATAGATAACACAGTTTTAGATAAATATGATTTAATAATTGATGAAACATGTCAGTAAGGCAATTTTTGAAAATTAATTTAACCAAGTATGATAAAGGTTATTATGGGAAATGTTTAACTCTTTACTCCCAAGAGCACAAGGCAACTTGTAGAAAAAATGAATTTTAACTTTGACTATATTTATAAAATTAACAGAAACTATCATTTAAAATGAATGTACATACATGGTGCATGTATTTGGTTTATGTTTAACTCTTGAAAAATTGAACATCATACACTTATACATTATGGCAAAAGCTGAAAAATGAAAACTGCTCTGGTATTGAAGAGGTTAAACCACATAAATGTTTTACAATTACATCCAGACATCCTACAGATAGGCTATCAATTTAAAAATATACCTATTCAGATAAATGTTTGCTGTATTTCAGTTATCTTGCTACATTAGCCCAGAGCTAGATTTTGCACTTGAGTAAATAATAGCAGGATTTCGACTTTTTTAACAAAATGTAAGTAAGGTTAAACAAACAGTTGTAAGGGGATATATGTAGTACCATGTTTAATATCAACAGTTCTGTCAATGTCCGAGGTTTTGGAATATGTCTGGAATCTGAATGAGGTTTACTGTTTTGGCTGTGTTCAAATCATATCTGGATTTCCAACTTAATGTTTTAGCTGCCATCTATTCTTGAAAACATATGATTTTTCATTTATAACTTTGTTGTGAGTGGTTTCCAACATGTTTTGATTCCATTTGCTTTTTTCATAGGTTGATTTGAAAAGCTAGTCCTGACATGTTCCTAACATGACAGGCCCGTAAGACACTTTTCTCCAAGGGGGGTGCGGTTTTTAGCTTACTTAAGAGAATATAAAATTGTCCATTTTTTTGCCGCGTAAATCAAATCGCGTAAGTCAGAGGGCGGGGGGGGGGGCTCAGTTACTCCCTATATTGGTTTGGAATTAACAAATGCAACTTCCAAACGTTCCAATTGTTTTGTGGGGGGTGTGAGGAATGGTCCGCTCCCCCTAGAAAATTTTACAGTTTTAAGATGCTATTTGGTGCTTTCTCGGCACTTTCAAAGTGTAAGTTTCCAACTAGTACGCCACCACCATGGGAATAAGAGTTGAGTGAATAAAAAACCGAGCATTCAGGGGGGTCTGGGGGTTGTCCCCCAGGAAAATTTTGAAATTTGGTTGTATTTGGAGCGAATTTGCAACCATCTGGTACGCCTGTGCATTATGAGTCAATAAGAAAAATGTGTATTTTTTTCAAATTCTTTTGGGGGTGTCAAAGTGGATGAGAGGGTGAAGTGGGGTGTGGTGCCAGTAGGGGAGCAAGGGGTTGTCCCCCAGAAACATTGACCATATCAAGTTGCTATTTGATGATGTCTGGGCACTTAAAAAATGTCTGAGACAATACATGAAATTCAGAATATTTTCTTTTGTTTTGTGGGGGATCTGAGGGGTGGCTTACTCTCCTAGAAAATTTTACAATTTATAGATGATATTTGGTGCTTCTGGGCACTTTTAAAGTGTATTAGTCAATAAAAACATTGAAAAACAATCTCAATTTTTTTCAAATTTTGGGGGTGTCAAAGGGGAGGGGGGCAGAGGGGGAGGTGGGGCTGGGGTGCCAGAGGGGGAGCAGGTGTTTGTCCCCCATATCAAAATTTACAATATCAAGGTGCTATTCGATGAAGTTGGGCACTTTAAAAGTGTCTATTTCCCAAGAAAATTTTACAATTTTAAGATGCTAATTGGTGCTTTCTGGGCACTTTAGTCAATAAAGTCAATAAAAAAATTTGAATTTTTTTTGGGGGGGGGGTGTTAAGGGGAGGGGGCTGCCAGAGGGGGAGGTGGAGTGGGGATGCCAGAGGGCGAGTAAGTGTTAGTCTTCCAGAATCATTAACTTTATCAAGGAGCTATTTGATGATGTCTGGGCAATTTAAAAGTGTCTGAGACAATACATAAAACAAATTCAGAACTTTTCCATTGTTTCGTTTGGGGTGTGAGGGGTGGCCCACTCCCCCTACAACGCTATTTGGTGCTTTCTGGGCACTTTCAAAGTGTATGAGTCAATTAAAGAATTTGAGAAAATCACAATTTTTTTTTTTTTTGGGGGGGGCGCCAGAGGGGGGTCTTTGCAAGTGCAAGATGCAAGAGGGGGAGCAAGTCCCCCAGAAACACTAACTATATCAAGGAGCTATTTGATGATGTCTGGGCACTTTAAAAGTGTCTGAGACAAAACACTAAAATAAATTTAGAACTTTTCCATTGTTTTGTGGGGGGTGTGAGGGGTGGCTAATACCCCTAGAAAAATTTACAATTTTAAGTTGCTATTTGGTGGTTTCTGGGTTCAAAGTGTATGAGTCAATGAAAAAAATTACCAAAAAAATATTTTCAAAAAAAAAAATTTCAAATTTATTTTGGGGGGGTGATCGCACCCCCCCATCTGACGGCCCTGCATGATGTCAGTTAGATTCAGATCAGGTTTTGAAATAAAATGATCTCTCTAAAATACCCAAAGTTTCTAAAAATTCTAACAGTCTACAATTTACTCTATCAACAGACTGATAAAAAGTTCTTTCCTGAAAAATACCAAGGCTTGAAGAATTGCTCATCTAGTAAGTGGCATGGCACGTGCAAATGGCCTTATAAGGACTGTCAGTTGATGGCGCAAAATTCTGTAGGTTAAATTATGTACTTAAACATGTAAATATTGCTTCAAAATCTCCAAAATTGAATTTCAATGAAATTATCCAAACTACATGACATTGAAATTTGAAACATGTTTGTAAATAATAATAAAGAGAAATGTGATATTAATTTGATTTATATAGTGTATTCAAAGTTCTAATGTTAAAGTTTAGTTGGGCTACTATATCTGAATTTTTAGATTTTTACAGATAAGTCCAGATGACGCGTTTTGCATTGTGATATTTCAAGTACTCCATGGCTTTTAATGACAGATCATTGTCATTTGGCAACATCACTTGTCAAATCTAATCTCTTTATTGATCTGTTTGGAATAAATACATCATTGTGATGCCTTTTGGACAACATGAGGATGATGGAGTCATATTTTCTGAAAGTTTTAACCTTTAGTTTATGTACTATTGGAGGGTATATTTTGTGGACAATGGGTATTAACAGTATGTATCGCATCAGGATAAAAAGTTATGATGTTACAGATAAAGGAACTGGTCACAATATATGTTTTATTAAGACACATAAGTGTGCAAGTTCGACAATCACAAATATCATGCAACGATATGGCTTAAAAAATAATCTCACTTTTGCATTACCTCTTAAGAATAATGTGTACTTTGGATTTTTGAGGGATTTCAGAGAAGATTCTGTGGCTCCGCTGCCACCTGGGAAACAGGCCAATATGTTAGTTAATCACGCAATCTTTAATGAGCCTGGTATGAAACACATCCTCGGTCAGGACGTGAAATTCATTGGAGTCCTTCGTTACCCGCTTAAGCATCTTAAATCTGTATATAACTACTTTAGATTGGAGCAGAAATATCTCATGCCAAGTATTGATACGTTCCTCTCAGATCCGAAAAAGTATGACGTCGAAACAGAACGCTGCTCTTACACTCATAACTTCCAGGCATTCCATTATGGCTTTAACATGTTAAAATCAGACTCCAAAAACTACATAAAGCATAGGACTTTATATTTAGACAGGATATTTACCTTGATGATCATCGTAGAGCATTTCGATGAATCTATGATCCTGCTAAAACGAGCGTTGAATTGGAAATTATGGGATGTAGTGTACATGTCGAAGAAGGTGAGAGAGTACAATGAAAAGAATAGAGAAATCACTGAAGAGAAAGAGGCAGTCTTCAAAAAATGGAATAATATAGACTATTTCTTGTATGATCACTTTAATAAGACTTTGTGGCACAGAGTAAAACTGCAGGGTACAGGCTTTAAGAAAGAACTCGATATATTCAAATCGATTCTGCAGGAAGTGACATCTTTTTGTAGTTCGGATATTATTAGTGGAGAATTAAAACTTGTTGATACTTATAATAATCAAACTCAAACATGGACAGCTGAAGATTGCGTTTCACTCAAACGTGACCCTAAAGATTTTACTCAAACGATCCGTAAGAAACAATATGGCGGTTTGTTCAAGCATAGATTTCCTAGTAAATACCCGGCAAAGAAAACGGCATCTCACATGGGGCGAAAAATAATTGGTGATTGGGCTGTGTCAGGATTCTGAAATAACATTCCTTTCGATTGCAATAATGGATACTTGATATTGTAATATGAAATAATAATGATATTCAAGCTTAGTCACTAATGAGAAATAAAGTCTAAAAATAATATCATGTTAACATTGACTGTTGTTATATACAGTACATAAAGTTGATTCAAAAGATCTAACGCAGCTTACAGTGAGATCAGATCCACCAGCATTAGACAAAAAAAGAATTGTATAAGTCATTTGCACCTGTGTTATTCTTTATTAGATGTATAATGCTTCCGTTTGACAGTAAAATATTACATCCTACTGGTAGAGGTGATCAATATTAAAGCTTTCTATTTCTTGAATGTTAAGGAATCTATTCAAGTTTCTGTAAAAGTATAGTATGCACAAGTGACAGTATAAACCAGAGAGTGTGATATGTTGAAAGCAATATTTTTAAAAGCATGGCAATGTTTCCCAAAAACTAAAATTGAGATGGTTGACGTTTCAGAAAATAGGCACAGCATAGCATATACCAATGACCCAATAAGGGCATTATATACCAAATATTCCTTTCTATTGAGGTGAATACATGTTCATCTTTCCCTCAGTGTACTTCCTACAGCCGGAATACTCATTCTACAAATATAAGCTGTGATGTCATAACAACGGAGCTTTGTTGCCATGTATATTCAAGTATTTTCTATAATATTATTGTGACGCGATAACAAAAATCTTTATCGTCTGCTAATATTCTGATCTACCGTGGTATATACAGTTGAAAACAGGAAGTGGGAAACAAGGAAATACACTCGGATATTTTTAATCATGTGATCAGTTCTTAAGTGAGAAACACAGGAGAAAAAAGAAATACAGGAGCACTAAAGAATTTGCAATATTTTTTCTAATTTTTTTTTAATGTATGCCCTAATTGGAATCTCTCAATATATTATCCTTTTCATTTCAATTGGAAACTGCGCTGTGTGCTCATTAGTGGGAATGCGCGGGAATCTACAATTTAATCAGTGCTTCCTTCATATATAGATTTTCCATAAACTCACAATTTAAGAAAAATCAAATAATCAAAATTATATTATTAAAGAGATTTTACAGTAACTTGCTGAATTGTAGAAATGTCAGTCTTTGTCTAATCTAATATAGTACAATGTTGATATAATCCATTAACTACTTTATTAAAGATGGATGTCTGAATAATATAGACAGAAAAGTCTTGTTCCATGGAAAATGAAAAAAGAAATTGACTCAGATGAATTGGTGCAAGTAGAAAGATTTTCTTAGATGAATACCAAACTAAATAGCATTAATAAAGATGAACTGTATTAGAGTTAATCATGTCACGTCAAAGAAAATATGTCAGCCTATTCACACAATCTTAACTATCACATGAAATTGATTCAGGATTGATTTAAAGGTGGCGCTTACATCAAACATTTTTTCGGGATGAAACTACATGAGCTAATGAGTTATGTTGGCATGAGCACCTGTTACACATTGAATTTTGACATATAGGGTTTTCCTGTTTTTTACGACTTACTGGTCAATTGTTAAACTCTGTCATTTACATATGTTCATTTGACTGTTAGAAATAATCATAAATATTTATGCATTCAGTTTGTGGCATGAATTGAATGGACTCATCGGTGTGTATCAAAACAGTTTAACGAATAAGACGGTGATAAATGAATTTTATTCAACTGAAACTCTCCCATTTGTCATGAGTTACTTTTTTAGTTATTAGTTAAATATTGTTGTGCAAGAGAATTGGTTCTTAAATTCATTGAAATACTTATTTATTATTGAATATTTGGTCTCCAGTGAGGAACTCTTATTAGAACACCTCTTGTAAATACCTATCATAAGAACACCTCTCCTCTTATAAGAACACCTCTCCTATCATAAGAACACCTCTCCTCTTATAAGAACACCTCTCCTCTTATAAGAACACCTCTCCTATCATAAGAACACTTCTCATAAGAACACTTCTCCTATCACAAGAACACCTCTCCTCTTATAAGAACACTTCTCCTCTTATAAGAACACCCGTTCTCTTATAAGAACACCTCTCCTTTTATAAGAACACCTCTCCTCTTATAAGAACACCTCTCCTCTTATAAGAACACCTCTCCTCTTATAAGAACACCTCTCCTATCATAAGAACACCTCTCCTCTTATAAGAACACCTCTCCTCTTATAAGACCACCTCTCCTCTTTTTAGAACACCTCTCCTATCATAAGAACACCTCTCCTATCATAAGAACACTTCTCATAAGAACACCTCTCCTCTTATAAGGACATCTCTCCTCTTATAATAACACCTCTCTAATGAGCACCTCTCACAGGATCACCTTTTCTTTTTGAGTGAACACCTTTGAAAAAGAACCTCTCTGGTGAATACCTCTTATAAGAACATTTGTCTAATGAGTAAATCTCACAGACACACTTTCCAGTAAATCCAACCCTTTAGTGAAAAAAAAATATTTTAAGTGATCAGCTAACTTTAGAATAAGCGCATTTTAGGAAACAAAGATAGTTTTTGTGGAATTCCTGACATTATAGCATACAGGTGTTAGGCTAGTTACCTCCGAGAAAATACATAAACATTTGTAAATATCACATATTTTCTTTTATTGCATACAAACTATAGGCAGGGGGCTGGTTGCCATTTGTTAACTTTTATATACATATATGACACACGGTGTCATAAGCATATGGTCTATAAAATATATCTTCTATTATTTTTATGCATGTGCTTGCATATAAATGCTTATACACATGTGCTGGCATCAGGTTTTTGTAGAGGAAGGAGGAAAGCTTTCATGGTATAAAGATGTGGGCTTATTGGGTTATTTATTTTCTTAGGCAAAGTTGTTTACATGTGTGGTCTTGTTAACATATGTATTTGTTCACTTGGAACTATAATTAATAAACCATACTTTAAAGCTAGATGTACTAAGCAAGAAATATTGAAGGCCTCAAAACATTGCCATGCCAACTGGATCTGATGAGAAGGCATGCTGCGCTGGTTTGATATTTCTCGAATGACTTGTTTCTAATGCAAATTATTTTAACATTTCATGTTTATTGTAGCTTTAAAAGATGTTTGCTAACACATTCTGCAATACTTCTAGTTAAGAAATTGTTGATATTTGGTCATACATCAACATCAGTGATCTCCCCAGTATTAAAGCACTTAGTGGGTGCAGCACCCACCTAAGATTTTGAAAATAGGCTTGCACCCACCTGAAAATCCATTTGCACCCATTTGAAAATGAGAGCAATCATGAATAATTGGCATATTTTGACCAATGTTGGTCTGAATTGTGTAAATGAGAATTCTGCACCCACTTGAGAAAATATTCTAGCATTCTGATACTCATAGCATCTCTCTCTGTTGCATCGCAGATCTACTATCCAGGAGTCCGTTTTTGTACCGTTCGTAGTAACGAACGTTCGCAATTCGTAAATTCGTAAATATTTAAAAAGTTACGAATGAGTTACGAATTCGTAAAGTTGCGAATGGATCATTTTTGTACGCTTTCGTAAGTCATTCGTAACTTTCCAATTGTTTAGAGTAAGATTTACGAATTGGTTGACGTCATATTCCACAGTTGTCAGGACAGATAGTACAACAAACAGGGTTGATCAAAATAATAAAACCAAAGTCATACAATAAGAACTTTATAAAAATAAAGATTCCATGAAAAGTACTAAAATAGATAGAGAAATAGGTTGATAATACGTTGATAACGGTGTTGCCCTTTGTGTTCTCTGATTTAGAATGACAAAAACGTCACAAATCACAATATAAATGAATAAATAAGAGGCCGTTCGCAAAGTTACGAAAGGGTCAGAGGTGGTATTAAATCTACGAACGAAAACAGGCATGACGTCACTATTTTCGTAAATTTATGAATCGTTCGTAACTTTACGAATCTTACGAAAATGCAACTTTGCGAAATTCGCAAATTAAACAATGGACTTACGAACGTTCGTTACTACGAACGGTACAAAAACGGGACCCAGAAGGATAGAGATGGAGAGGGCGTGGATTACCACGGTGATATTCTAGGGAGATCAATGTACATTTATGCCATATTTGGCGCTTTCCAGAAGTTTCTTAATATGAGAATGCTATTGCATTTGCCTTTATAAATGATAAATAAACATTTAATAGATCATTTGATAAATTCTGCCACCATTTGATATTTCAGAAAAACTATGATATATATTGGCTAAATTGATGATGTCATTGGTTGAAGGTAGACATCTTACCATGCAAAAACAAGATTGAATTAATGCCAATTGCAAAAAATCAACTTCTGACATCATCAAGCTAGCAAATACATGTATATCAAAGTTTCTCTGATGGATCTGATGTGAACATGGCAGGATTTATTAGAACAATCTATTGAGATTATGATTCACTATGATGCTCATGTAACTGGATCAACTGCCTTTTTAGTAACACTGCTTCAACAAAGGTTATGTCTGAAAAAAATGTTTGCATATATGTGGTTAACTTCTTCATCAGAACCTAATTAAAAAACAATTAACCAGAGTTTCCAATGTAGTGTTTCAGAACTCTTTGAAGTCCAATTTACTTTTTTAAACCAATCATAGCAATTAGTTGAACATGTTGAATTCAATTAGATCTATATGTATAGATATCAATACATTTAATTACAGTCTATTCACAATGTTATCCCTTTCATACCCCTTAAGCACATGCTTCCAGATCTATTTTGCAATCCAACTGCAAACATCAAACATGAAAATTGTTTGCTTTTATCAGTCATTAAAGGTTTGAAGCTCATTAACTCTTCATTCAATATTGTTGATATTTGATCAATTCTTATCTGTTAAGTGTAATTATTGTCTAGTTTCTAGTTTATGTTATTAATATTTAATTACACTGATTTTTTGAGTATTGACTGCTTTCAAATTCATTGTTTTATGCTCCTTACTGTACTTTGCTCTTTGAACATCTTGCTCGATACTTATATTAGTTAAAAGTGATATATCTACTCATATAAGTCCATGGGCTTATAGTTGGTAGATTCCTAGGTGTAAGTATTCTTATATTTCGGTGTTATGGTCTGTCCATAGTGAACATTTATAGGTCTTATTCTAAGTGGTAAAGTATCAGATTTAATTCATGGACTTTTATGAATATTAAAGGTTAGTTTACTGCGCCTACATATATGATATTGCATATATATCTAACTACATTGTATGTTCTTATATATCTGTTGAAAGCCCATGATTTTATCAAACATCCCATATGATTCAAAATACCTATAAATTGATTAAGGGCATATTTTTGATTGACATAGATGTCTAATTACAATGCATAGATGCACAGAATATTGTATTTGAAATGAATTATTAAAATTTTATTTATTTATCTTATGACCTTAGATCACATTGGTGTCATATAAATGATCAAACATACATTTTGTTTATATACAAATACTTTGTGCATACCAAGTAATATCAAACACATTAAGCCTAAAATGAATTTTATTTCATTTTTGATATCATATTTACTATAAATTGATGTTGAGTGATTTATGCTTGGGTTCCATAAGGTAATAAAAACATTGGATAATTGATGAAGATTGGAATATAATTACCATTTGTGATTTTAATGTCTTTCTTCAGCACCTGATGCTCCATAAAATAAATCATGTGAACAACTTCGTTAAGGTCATCTTCATATGGTCAGACTTCACTGCCTTCGAGAAATAGATGTAGGGTTCTGAAACAAAGATGCCTTGGAATTTTCTCATATTTATTTTGACATTGTCATTTAAATGATCCAATGCTGAAAACTTAATGAGTTTTGCATTTCAAAAGTTTTAAGTATGATAAAACATATATGTTTGACCACATATGAATATACATGCAGTCATTTCCATTCTCCTTGCAGAAGATTAATGACCTGAAAGTTAATGTCAAAGGTGTCATGTGAAAATGTCATGTGACAAAATTCAAAGAAATAATGAGGTGGGAAATAATTAATTTAAAAGGAATTAGTAAGCATGCTTTTTTGTTATCATTTATAATTATTCCAATCGGTTTGATGAATCGCACATAAAAATGTTTTTTCTTGATCATAGTGAAGTAATAAACTGTATAAAAAATAATTCAGTGCAAGTTGCTATCTATTATTGTAACAAAAAATCTATATTGTGCATGTAATTATTCAATGTGTAATTAACGTTTCTCATGATAATTGTAATTTCAAATGAGAGGATGATAAAAACTTCTGTTAATTACAGTTTAGTTTTCATTTTATATTGCGATGAAAGGATATTCCGGGATGATCATTATCTATTTTTTAATAACTGACCAGGCCATGGGCAAAGTTTGTTAATAAATTACTTCTATAAAAAACTAATTTGTGTATCATAGGTTATGATTTGTGATTTTTATATGCATCGTAAGTTATATTAATGATGTTCAAATCATCCATCTCGTTAAGTATTGAAATCAACAGAGGCACTACGAGTAGTCAGAGAATGCTCTTGATATATGGGTAATAGGCAAATACGGATAAGCGCAGATAAAAAGCAGTGCTTGAAGTGGAGTAGAAATATATTGGAGTATTTTTGTAATCTCAGCGAGCATTGCTACAAAGAGAGGAGAACTTGAGCTGCTACTGTTGGACTTATTAACTAATTCAAGCAGAACTATATAATATTAAAACAGAAAAAAGAATTAGAAAAAAAGTTATTGACCTTTAAAAAGTGTTTTTAAGTTCAATTTATTTGAATGATTCAGCCACAAATTGGAGCATATACAATAGCACAGTTGTGTTAGTTTTCAGACGAATTTTCACTAAAAAATTATCAATGAAAAGAACTGGGTATTGCATATTTTATTGGATATAAGAGGTCTACTAGGTTTTGTTAGTACATATACAGGACCGTGTGATTGATTTGCAAAGAACATGCATTAAATTAATTCCGAAAACTGGATATCTCTGAAGGTAACATACCATATGTACAGGGTACCAGTGATTAATGATATTACTTGCCCTACTTCAGTGGCATAAAAACTGATTTTTGGGAATAAACATTTAGCACAGAATAAACATTCAGTTATAAACATACCAAGTGAATATACAGGTTTTCTGGAGGAAATCTTGTGGTTTGGCTAATTAAACCTCAAGCTCCTGCTATTAACCAAACCAGTTGGGATATTGACTTTGCAAAAAAACTGATAAGACACTAAAAACCAAGTACAAAGTTTAATTCTACAGGAGGAAAATGATGCGGAAATTACATCACTAAGGCACTAAGAAATATAGAAACTCATATAGTCTGAGGACATAAATTACATTAATAAAAAATATTGGAGTTGATAAATTAAGAGTGTGAGTCCCTTGATCAGGTACATATGGTAAAATTCCCAAGCTAGTATGGACTAAGTATACAAACTTTCTTCAGAGATGGGATACATATGGTTGAACTATACTAGATGCTAGATAAGTCACTGATGAGGATATATATCTGAATAGTTCAACAGACGATACAAGGGATTTATCCACACTGGAATTTATTTTGCTAAAGGCTAGGGATGATGGAAATTATTCAATAAATGGAGTTATTTGCTTGTTTAAGCCATAGGAACTTAATTAGGCAAAGTAAAAGGACAGTTTGACACTAAAACGACTAGCAGGATTAAATACAGGATATTTGGAAAATCATTCCAACTTAGAGTCTATCTAGCTTAGTAATTACGGCGATAATTCATGAAAAGCAAAATTGATCTCGCAAATGTACATAATTTGACAGACAGCCAGAGAGAATTCTAATACAGTTTGTATGATGATTCTGACGGGTGTCAAATAATATTTTGGATTGTATTTCACTGGAGGAAATGAAGTCTGTGATGCTATATATAATACTGTTATTGTCTTTCTGTGTCTCTACTGAGCAAAGAAGGTATAGGAGACAACCCACTGATGCCCCTAAGCACAATTACCCACAGCAAGTCAATATAGGTCAGAAACAAGCTAAACTACCCCATACATTACCCCCAATTCGCCCCCATCAACCATATCAACAGCCTGCACTTGCTTATAATGCTAAAAGTCCATATAAAAATGGAGTCATAGGAGGTGATAAACCTCAACTAAATGCCAATCAAGATACATTTAAAGATGGCGCTATCCCATTTAAAGATGGGGCTGCCCCATTGAACATAAAAGAAATGGTAACAAGAAAACAACCTGTACATGTAGAACGCAAATCACCTCAAAGTGCACCTAGAGGAAGTAAAAAGCATCCTCGCTATCCTGTCAAAGATGGAAAAAGCAAATACATAGCGCCTTCTGTTAAAGTAACACCTCTACCAGCGGACAAACTGCCAGTGCCCAAGCTTGGGATTTACTGGTCAGCTAGTGGTAATGATTACAGCTTAAAGGCATTCTCTAGTCATCCATTCCGTATTCGTATGCGTCCTTATCCCGCTGTTGGCTCCCCCTGGCCTATGCCTCAATCTTACGAGACAACCAAGGAAGAATGCTACCCTATCGTTCCAGATCAGTTCAAAATACAATCCGATATGGCCTCTTGTGATATTTTAGAAGATGCAATCACCCGATACGAGTCATCAATATTTAAGACAATGTCATTTGTTCGCAATCCAGCAGACACATCATGTAGTCATAGCAACGGAACTCTTAATCCTCAGGTATATTCACTTAATATAAGTGTAGTTAAAGTGTGTGAAGGTTTCCCCTCTTTGCATATGGATGAATCATATGAACTGCAGGTGAATGAAAAAGGTGCTAGTCTAATCGCCATGGAGATATGGGGTGCCCTGAGGGGGATAGAGACATTCTCACAGTTGATCTATCGTACTAGTGAATCCACATACCAGTTGAATAAAACTACAATCAGGGACCACCCTAGGTTCTTACATAGAGGTATTCTAGTCGATACTGCCAGACATTTCCTCAGTTTGGATACTATTAAAACAACACTTGAGACAATGGCTCAAAACAAGTTCAACGTCCTTCATTGGCATATGACAGATGACCAGTCATTCCCCTTCCAACTGAAGTCTTTCCCTAATATAACCAGCAAGGGGTCTTTTGATCCAGACTCAATGGTGTACACCCATGATGATGTCACAGAAATCGTAAAATTTGCCCGGATGCGGGGAATCCGTATCATTCCTGAATTTGACACCCCAGGGCATACATTTGCCTGGGGGGTAGGCAAACTTGAGCTCCTGACCCCTTGTTATAAATTCAATCAAAAGGACCTGGATGGTATGTATGGGCCACTTCACCCTGCTTTAAACTCCACCTATGACACGCTACAGAAAATCTTCCAAGAAGTCCTTGATGTATTTCCCGATAAATACGTTCATCTTGGCGGTGACGAAGTGCCATTTGATTGCTGGAGGACAAACCCATATATTGCAGAATTTATGAAGCAGAAAAACTTACGTGATATTCGGGAGATGTTGCAATATTATGAACAACGTTTAGTCAATATTGTGACATCAGTTGGAAAGACCAGATCGACGGGGGTCGGGACCATTGTATGGCAGGAAGTTGTAGATAATAATGTCAAGGTTCCTTCTGATACAATCGTTGAGGTGTGGAAAAGTGGCGGACATGAGGTGTTCAATTATATCACCCATAGGAACCTCAGTGTCATTTACGCAGCCTGTTGGTACCTGGATCACATCAAATATGGTCTCGACTGGCATAACTTCTACAAATGTGATGCGCTTTATCAATTGGAACGTTACGGAAGAGATAAAAAATGGGACTCTAATAAACTACTTGGGGGTGAGGTATGCCTCTGGGCTGAGTATGTAGATGATAATGAATATAATCAAAGATTATGGCCCCGTGCTTCAGCAGCTGCAGAAAGACTTTGGAGCCATCATAGTATAAATGATGTTCATCGGGCAGCGCCACGCATCGAGGAGCACAGATGCCGTATGATCAGTCGGGGGTTACCAATGGGGGTCATCAATGGTCCGGGATATTGCAAACAGTTCAAAGCTAAATCCAAGACTATTCCACTTAATACTACTGCGGAGACTGGTGGTTTCTTGTCAGATCTCTCTCTATCATTTAACAATATAAGTTCATCCATAGATATTCCAGAGACATATTCCCTGATGTATATCTGTGCGGGGATTCTCGTTTTATTGGCTGTTGTCATGGTGATCTTCAAACAGCCATCAAGATCAGGAATTTTAGTGCTTCTTATTCCGCTCAAATCAAACTCTAATAATCCACGGAAACTGATACCATTGTTTGCCGTGGGTATTTTGGTATATTGCCTTTTCTCCACACCATTATGGCTGGAGGTTTTACATAAAAACAATCGTGGTGGGAGCCCAATGTCTCACCTAAGACCCAAATATGGTGCACTTATAAACCACATGAATCAATCAGTGCAATTAAAACCACCTTGATTTGTCAGGGCATTTAGTTTTATTTACTCCTTATTTATTAAGAGGTTATGTCAAATTATCAATCTCCATTTTCACAATCTACATCCAGCTTTACACTGCAAACTCATGGGTTTCACTCCTCAAGGAAAATGAATTTACATATTACATAGTTCCACATGCCTATCAAACATGCATGAATTGAAAGAACTCAGAAATACAATCAAATATGCAGTTCGATTTAGCCCAGTTTTCAGGAAATGTATTCAAATGTATTAAAGTATATACATGTCTATTTATTCTGTTATTACTGATTCATCTGTCACTCAAGCTGATATTCCATTTTCTAAACAAAGTGGAAAGATCATGATATTTTGACTCAACCTCTAAGTTTAATTTATAGACACTGTTCGCCATAAAATGGAAAAAACAACAGCTGAAACTATATACAGGTATTCTTTCTCAAAGGATGGCAACAATCCGGTTATTATCTGTGCTATATTAGTAAATATTAGATAAGATAAAATGCCTCTGCAACATTTCAATTTATTCATTCAGTTTAAAATTATATGATACAATTTAATATTTTCATAAACTCGTAAGCTGAGGTTTATGTGTCATAATTGCTTTGAGCAATTTGAGTTGTGGCAATAAATCACACATTTTGCATTTAGTTTAAAAAGTAAACAAAATAACAATCAATGACATCAACATTGCATGTGTTATTATACTACAAAATTTACATTATATTAATGCGGCTGGGGAGATCACAGCATATTGAAAAGATAGAGTGGAAACATAATGATAAAAGAGAGAAATGTTCATATAAGTATGTATGATATTTAGTGTTATATGAAAATAACTGAATTTCTACCAAGAAGTCACCAATCACTATGTTTCTCCATTGAAATGATAATGAATATTAAACCTAAAATATGTGTTCTTTTTGCATTGCACCGAGTCCCCCTTAAGTGTATAAAAGGTATATTAGTGGGTGGTGAATCTAAATGGCTTGATGCAAGCAAGACAATACAGTTGTATTGACATTAGAAAAGTTTTGCACAATATTTTTAGCCCAACACATCTAAAATCTGTAACGCATTTACTCGCTTTACGCATACCGAAGTATTTCAGTTAAACCAATGCAGTTGTGGATACGGTTGAACTATAACCTGTTGTGCAAAACCTCTCTATTGTTGACTATATCATCACCTTATATTTGAGAAGCTATTTTTCCAGCTGTATATATTACATTTTAAGGTTATATGACCATGAATATTATATTTATGATACAGCCTCATTATTTGCTCATATTAAGCTTTATGATTTAATTCATTAAGCATACAAATTGTTTTCATTAAGGAATCATTGCAAAAGATCAATGTAGGATAATTCACAACTATATGTTTTAAGTTAATCTTTGAGACAATCCCCTCAAATGACAATGGATTCTATTTATGAGTGTTAAAATCTCCAGATAAGCTCTTTGATATACATCTTGTATTTAATGTCTCTGTTGTATCATTTAAGGGATAACTAGCATTAATGATGAGTCTAGAGTAACTTTCTTTGCTTACAATATTATATTTCATATCTTTTTTCTAAAACATTTAACCAATTCTGAATTTTACTTGTACACCACCCCTCGTACAATTAAACAATGATTTACCCTGCCTTGATTTTTTCAGCTGTCCCTATAAGTATGTACATTATATTACAAATCCTGTGTTAAGTGTAAAGAGACTCTAGTTTATGGACACCCTGTAAGATTTAAACACATCTTTTCATATTATATTTTCATGTTTCTTATTGTTCTTAAGGGCGGTTTGGTAAACAAATTTGTAATTTTGCTTCTGGAACTTTTTTGTTTAATTTTATAAATATTAAGTCAAATCTATAGACATGTCAGCTTCCATTAAAATGTTGCTATTGTAAGCTGTAAATTTTAACATATGTTTATGAATTGATTCTGAATCACGAAAGCAATGTGTTTTTATCTAATAAAATTTCAATGACGTCCATGAGTTAGATATATTTTCAATATATTGTAAGTGATAAAACTCAATATAGTACATTGAAGGAACATGACATGGTTTCTTTTGATTTTGATCAATAAAGTCACCCACTCATACTACCTTAAAAGTATAAGGTCAAAATTATTTTTCTAAATATTTATGAACTGAGGAAAGCACTTTCACATTTTTGTTGGTCTACATAAGGCACTCAAAGAAAATGTCACTGGGTAATATCTTAAAGCCTAGAATAAGATACAAAAGCAAGCACTGAAGTACAAATACAAAAGTATACAAATCAATGATATTGATTAAAAATTAGGGAAATCAGTCAAATCACGTCAGAAACATGTTAAATAAATCAGAGTAAATTTAGAACATGGTCAGAATATTTTATTTATTCAATGATAATTTCCAGTGATTTGATTGGTCCTTTTGAGGCACATATATCTTCCCATTTCATGTTCTGAAAAATTCATATACATGTACAGTTAAACCTATGTAAGTGAAGCATCTTTTGTCCCTCAAGATAGTGTTAATTTTGGAGGTGCTCTATTTACAGAGGTAAATTTTCTATTAAGTTAATGGTTAATGGGATTTGAAAAAGTGTACATTTTTGGAGGTGTTATATGTGTCTTTGTATAAAGGTGTTTACTTTACAGGTTTCACTGTAACTATGGCATCATCGTGAAATGTAGACTTTTGCAGGCATAATATTATTATCTATATATTTTACTCAATCATCAAATACTTTACAGAATCTACCTATCAATTTAGATCACACACTTATAGCTTTAAGTGTATATTGTTCTAAATGAGATGAGACGAGTCAAAATGTAAGACTGTATTTTTGATTTAATATAAAGGTTTACTTTAATTTAATCATAACTCAGTAGACCTTATTGATGATGAATGACTATGGATTGTTGTTAATCAGTGGCCTTTGTCCATTGTGGCTACTGATTTTATGTTCAGAATGATGGATAGACTGTTTCTACAGTTGTTTGAATAATATTAAAAGAAATAAAAAATACAGTTATTGTTTTGTCAAAGTTTATCTCCTTGAATTAGCAAATATTCTTGAATGTTGAGGAATGCTCCCTGATGTAGCTGAGAGTATTGAATTATTATAGTGAGTTAAGAAAAAAGGAATTGACGTGTAAATATGTAATTTTCATGCACACCTTGTTGAGGATACCACATGCAATTCAACAATATCAATTACAAATCTGTGTATGATAAATATACTGGACTAGTTAATTATTTAATCCCATGTTAAAACCAAATTTGTGATTTACAATCTGAAAATAACCTATTGTTCTTAAGTTTCCTGATGAACTATCAAGATCCCATGAAGCAATACAATCATGTAATCACCATGGTAATTAGCCCAGCTATGAAATATGCCTAAATGAAAAGGCAGTCATATTTCCAGACATTGGAAAATCTATGTTTTGTTGGATGTATTTGATAATGCTCAATTTTTAGCTGGATTTGTTTTCACTTGATGTTGAAATCCTGGGTATATGAAAATGTAAATAGTGTTAAATACCATGAATAGTGGCATACTGTAATCATAGGGGAATGAGAGTCATATTGGTTGGGAACTACTTGAGCAAAGCAAACACAAAGTAATCCTAGAATTTTTCAATTTTTAGAGGTTTATACAGCATCAACTGTGGTGACAAAAAAATTGCTAGATTGCCAGAACACATATGACTTTTTGAAATTGGTCAGAAGATTGCAGTAATAACAAATATACCATGTACAAGGATTTGATACGGAACAGGTCACCCCAATCAGCAATCAGTCAATCACAATGACAACACAGGATGCTGTTGTAGGTGTAGTTTGTTATGTTTGAGAAAGAGTTGATTTATTCTGGCAAAATACTCTTTCTTTACTGGTTAGAAATTGTAGAAATTGGTTTAAGTGGCATGGAATACAATCAGTAAATTAATTTTTCAGCTGGAGGAGGACTTAATCAGTTTTGGGACTCCAAAAGAGATGGAATACTGTGAAATAGACTCTTCCATTCCTCATGGGTCCTCAATTGGTTCTCAATTGGTTTAACATTAACTTTCAATTTGGTTGATCAGTAAAAAGGAGAACAACTTTTCCATACAGCCTAGGCCACTGTGAGACTGTGTATATCTCAAGACAGTTGAATGTTTTATCTTAGAAAATGTCTTGTTTCTTAGTTTGCTGTTCGTTTATCCAATACTGATAAGATTGCTAAGTCAGCTTTGGTTTTTGATACAAGACAGATGATATACCAGAATATTGCAAATAGAACCAGAGATATGATATAAGTACACGGGGTGGTCCAAAAGTTCCGGGAATGGGTTCTATATTTTGGTAATATTTATTATTCAATATTTTTGATATTTGGCATTGTTATTCTTGGACCAACTTGAATCCAGCACAATGAGAAATTTATTATCTTGATTTGTCAGTCTGATGCAGAGTCACAAGACAAGGCTCCATCTCATGGCTACTATTTTGGCTCACATGGTACCATATGAGCCTATGGAATGCCCACTTCTCCATCCTTCTGTCCTATATCTGTCCATTCATTTTCAAACAAATGAAAACTGCCCATTGTCTGAACTAATAATCCATTTCATGTAGATCCATAATTGTAACTTAAATTATTGTTCTTGGCTCCTATTTTACCTTGTTTTGGAGAAATCAGCCTTTTTTCATAAAAATATCACATTTTCAAAAATGTATGAACTCACCACATGAGCTCACCAAATTGTGCCATTCCTTTCGTCTGTACTTGATAAAATACGGATTTCTGAATGATGATCTATTACATACCTTACAAGGGCTATAAAAGCCCTTTTTGAGATTTCCAGGATATACTAGACTGTTAAAATGTGAAGAAAATAAATAGATATCAATTCTGTTGCCATTGAAGATGTAACATGTACTCACAGGAGCATGTCAGGATTTCCCTCATGGGCGATCAATGCAGAAACAAAGAAATAGAATTAAATGAGATGGATGACATATTCCTTGAAGCTTACGAGCCTCCATTAATCATGCTTAAAGGACATTGTCCACACATAAATGATTATATATTGGTGATAATTACATGTTCTTACTCATTGAACCATAAGATTCTGATGGTTGTTTTATAGTTAATCAGTTCAAAGTAAACTCTTATTATTCTACTTTAGTGATCTACAGGGTGTTTCATAATGACCGTTCCCCCCCATCCATAGGCAATCCTAGATCCCATGGCCCCATAATTTATATACATGTACCATAATAAAGCTAATTCAATTCTGGACTTATGTGCCAAATATTAGCATAAAAAATGGAAAAAATGTCATGGT